TATTGATTACGTTTTTAAATATTAAAATCAATAATTATAAATTTTATCACTGGAGCAACCGTTTTTTATATAAAAACTTTCAAGTTTCAATAACTAATTCTTAAAAATAAAAAAAAATACTTTTATTATTCACACTTAAACAAAAACATAAAAAAAATGTAGAGTCCATAACTCAAGTTACGTTTTTCTATTCGAGAAAAATAAAAAATAAAAAATAAAAAAGTTCTTAAATCTTATGTGACATTCGCATTCTCACAAAAAATGAATTAAGAATTTCAAAATAGGTTCTACTATTGAAGATGTTATATGTTAAGTTACACTCATTTAATTACATATGAAAATATGATTTAAATATGTAAAATATAAATAAATAAAACTTTTATTAATTTATAATTTATTATAAATGATTCATATTTTAAATAATATTTTCAAGATAATATATATAAATCATGTTTTTATACGAATGTATTTTTAGGAATTTTCTTTATTATAAGAAGATTTTTAGAGACTTTTTTAACTTCATATATAATTTATTTTTATTTATCATAATTATTTATGAATTAAATTTTAATATTTTTAAATTAAAAATACTTTTATGTCAAAATTTATAAACATTATTTTTTGGTCCTTATGAAATGAATATATTTTAATTTTGATCTTGTAAAATTATTTTTTTATTGATTTTCATCTCTTTGAAATTTAAAGTCATTATTTTTGTCCACAACAATTATTTTAAGGTAGATAAATAACATTTATTTTAAAAATCTATAAATTTTTTAGATATATCAAATATTAGTATGATATTCGTAAATAACATATAGGATAGTCATTTAATCTATTAATAAAGAAAAAGTAGTTAAAACTAATATATATACCAATATCTTAGTTCGTGTATTACAGGATTAGGATTCAAATGTTTATTATATATAAGTAAGATTTAAAATTTACATAAATAAATATTTTTAAATATCTAAATTATCTTTTAGATTTATTATAAATAATTTGTTTTATATTAAAAAATTTAATTATAGATAATTTATTTTAAAATATTAAAATTTATTTATAAATAAAAATAAATTGAGTTAAATAAGAAGATTTATTTTAAAAATATTAAAATTTATTTTATAAATAAATATGATAAATAAAATTTAAATTAAATAAAATATTACAAAAATTGCTAAAAAAATTTCATTGAAAAAATTCTAAAAGTACTCTTGGGTAAAATAGTTATTCATGTTTAATATATAAAGATTGATTGTGTCTTTAGTTTTAAATTTTAATTTTCTTAAGAGTAAATTATATCACACTCTCCCTTGAAAGTTAAAAATATTACATTGTCTTTCTCTATTATATTAAAATATATAATTTATTGCATTTATTTTAACATTGTTAACAAAAATTACGATGTTAGTTATCTCTCGAAAGATATAAATATTATACTATCTTTTTTTCATATATTAAAATATAAAATTAATTAAACTATCATCTTTGAATATTTTATATTATCACTTTTCTATTATATTAAAATATATAATATCACTAAAGAATATTCATTATAAAATATTAAATATAATTTGAATTAAATCATTAAAATTAGATATAACTTTTTAGGATCTAACTCTTGTAAAGTAAGGAAATTGCACTTTAGAAAATAAAGTGTAATAATAACCATTGATTAAAAATTTAATTACTGATATTATAATTAATTTTAGATTTTATTTTATAAAAATTTAATTTTATCACAAATTTTAATCATTAATTTATAATAAATAAATATAATTTATTCTCTAAAGTACACTCCTCACTTTAGAAGAGTAAAATCTAACTTTTAATAAATAAATTTATTTTTTCTCTTAATTTTTAAAATTAAAAAAGATATAATTTAACCGTATTATCAAAATATTTTAATTTATGAAGTTACTTTTCTTAAAATTATAAAACATTATACAATAATTTTAAATTATAATTTTTTTTTGAAGGGAAAGAAATATTTTAAGATTCTTAAATAATATTTTAATCAATAATACACTTTAAATTTATATGCCATTATTATAATAATAATAATAATAATAATAATAATAATAATATATTGATATATTGTTAAAAAATGTAAATATAGGTTATAATAATACATAATATATTATTGAATCTTATTTAAAATTAATATTAAAATTTATGTGTAGTTATATGTCAAATAAATTTATATATACATATATTGTATTCATAATGATATTTTTATATATCAGTATATGTAATATTTTTGTAATGATCAAGATACTCTTTTTTTTTTATAATTATGTTATTAGTATGAAATATTTACTAATTTTTTTGATGAAATAAATTTTGTTGAGGAACTTAACTAGTGTTCTTTAATAGGTCTCTATTTCTAACTACATATTTTTCTTTCACAAGACTAAAATCCAAAATCTTAAAAAAACAAAATTTAGTTTCACTTGAATCAACAACTTGTTGATATTGAGATAATACTAATTTAATGTTTAAAGTTTTTATAGATTTAATTGAATTGTAGTTTAACTGATTTTATTATATAATAATAGTAGTAGTAATATTAATTATAATATAT